TCAGCGCAATAAAGTGTGCAAGAAAATGGATCCTAATGACTACAGCGTATCTATATCGAAGTGTGTGGCTAAGCACGAATTCAGTTTCGAGACGTTTATGACAGCTTTGTACATACGAAGTTCTATATACGACAACTTCAGACGATACACGACGTGTTGGATAGACCTTACTGTCACAGATAGTTAAACCCTCCAAAATGAAAGACAAAACGAACATCAGTACGAATAGAAGCACAAAGATAGCACCATAAACTCGCCTGACGATGAATCGACAGCAAAAGTATACAAGCACCTCAAGGTAACTATACCTAACGTCCGCCGTAGAGAACATGTTCTTGGCAACAAGATTTACTGCTCTTAGCAGGAGTAGAGAAGCTCAAGCAAACAAAGCGAGATGAGGGTAACAAGTGTGTCGAGTACATACTTGACGATAGCATGTGCGCGATAACTTCTTTTGGCAGAAAAAATTTTAATGGCGAGTCTGCTATAAACGTACCTAAAGTAATAAGGCATCTTCTTCTGTTTGCAAGTCAAACTTCTACAAAATTGCGAGCGAGTTGACGACCCTAGATAATAAGACTTTGAACAGCGTGGACCATATTGACCGTCGGATCTTCTATGTTGTCTTCGCAAAGGTGGAGGCAATCTTAAAAGGGATAGTAAACAACGCAGTAACATCATATCAGCTCACGTTGCATACCTCATACAGGATGACAATTCACTAGCGTCGAACACAACATGCCTACTTATTGTTAGCACTCCACGTATTTACTTACAGGTATAAACAAAAAACAGGTGCAGACGTGCTGATGTTAAAGGCCTCGTTGAAACGGTTCGGTTGTATGAAGCGTGTACGGTTGAGCATAATATGGAGTGCCGGGACTGCTCTGGAGTATTCAAGTTGATAGTTGATTGCAGAAGCAACTGTTGTTGTGGCACCTTTTTAACTAATTAATGAGGAATCGTACAGTAAATATAAATAGGGCTCGGATATTGTGCTAAAGAAAAATACCCCATTTTGCTCATGTACGCAGAGGTGAGCATCAGCAGAGGGACCTCGATGATGATAGACTAAAGCTACAGTACGATGAGATATATCAAGTCATAAAATTGGATCTAAGTATTTGAGTGATAGTTCCGCGGTAAAGACCAAACATACGGAGGTACTGCTATGTGCACACACATCCAACCAATTCAAGATCGAATTGTCACTACAAACAACGAAGGTCAAAATTATGTCGAAATGACATGTGAGTTTATAGACGTAATCATCGAAGATAATGAAAGTTAAGACTCGTTGCAAACACTTTGTGTGATAAAGAAACGGTCCATCCTAAATTCGAAAGGACCCAAAATATGATCACAAGCGTAAGGTATACACACAAATCGATGACACGAGCAATTATATAACCGACATGACTATATTAACGCTCCCTCACCTCTGTGCTAAGTACAATTTTGAGCGTAAGATGTATATCCACAACGAACTTGGTTGCGGCAAGGGCGACTGTGACCGACACGCTTCGCATCTCAAACGAATCAGAGATCGGTATTTGGATGGTATAAATTTGATGACCCCCGATCAACTGTATAATGCGTCAGCTGGTACAATTAAGAACACCACTATTGTCTTAACATTAATAAAGGCATAATAGCAGAGGAAGAGGACGAGGCTGACGACGAAGACAAGAAGGCAAAAGTTGATGGAAACGGTGAGGGATTAGTTGTCATATACGAAGATACTCAAGTACACTACTCATCTTTATTTGGGTCGCCCCTATGTCGACTAAGAGATTGAAAAATTCAAATAGAAACCTGGCCTACCTTGTATTTTAGACAGCGCATAATAAAACTAATAATTATGTAGTCGATCCGCACACACACGTTTCGATATTATGAACATGCCCTTTTTTCTTTCTTAAAAAATCTCAACGCTGTAGCGAGCCACCTACTATTTCTGTAGCACAATAAATAGAAAAGCTTGTCATCGCAAATCGTCATATCTTCCCTTGCAAAGTATAAACAAAGGAAAATTGAATTAGCTCTCTGCATCATTATGAAATTGATTTTTGTACTTGCTGCCGTCTGCAGTCCCGTTTCGGCCATGGACATCCGTCAAGTTAGCCCTAGTAGCGCTCCCGGGCCAGAGAGAGAGCCCATCTCTTGCGCCCAGAAGGATCAGTTCAATCAGATCTGCAAGAGCGAGGGTATGGTTCCTAAAAACGACGGGTTTGAGTGCTGCCAGTGGAGTAAACAGTGTGGATTTGGTTCCGACGGTCAATACATCCCCAAGTGCATGGTGAGCAATTGTTGCAAGGAGCAGGGATCGAACCCCAGACCCGAGCCCACCAACCCCAGACCCGAACCCACCAACCCCGGACCCGAACCCACCAACCCCGGACCCGAACCCACTAACCCACCTCAGTCCGATAATATCCGTACATGCGGTAGCAGAAACATTCAGTGTGATGCTTCTAAGGACATGATCATCAACTTCCTCAAGGAGTGCTGCAAGGAAGAAGGCAAATGCGGAAACCTAGAGAAATGTAGCGAGGACACTTGTTGCATGCTTGAGGCAGATCTTCCCCCATATGTGATGACTTGTGAAACTAAGCTTGATGTCAACGAGAATGCATTCAAATGCGATGCTGGGGACGATGTGCGAACAGACGGTTTCCTATGCTGCCAATGGACCCCTAGGGACACCTGGAAGACAATCGAATGTGCACCTTTCGGAGCCACCATTAAGTGTCTCGAAAGAAGTTGTTGCGTAAGAGACGAGTAAATTATTGAAAAAGTTAGATTAAACTTGTCTAGTTGCTAAATACTGCGTTTGTACAGCGGTGAACGTCCAAGACAACTAAGGTAGATATTGGTCGATGTAAGTCAGAAGGAACATCATTTCAAACCCGACAGCACTATTCGGCATACTGAACTTTATAGTGCAAACATGCATCATAAACGGTATTGTGGAAGTCGATGACGTTGTAGTGAACGTTCACAGTTACAATGAATAAAAATTGACTCCTTCACTCTTGCAAAAACATTTCAACTTGTTTCAAGTTACAGAATTTACAATATAATTACGACCTTCCTTCATCCATAAAGCTAGATGAAATCACGTTTATTGACAAAATATTGCAAGAAACTGTGATAGTTCAAATCATGATAAACATACAACGTCCAAAGTATCTAATTAAAGCAATTTTTTATTTACATCTCCACAAAGTCTCTTACATCTGGACCAGCTAGTGTATTATCATTTTTATTTAAAAAGTTAAAGCATATACAGTATATTAACGATCTTCCTTCATCGATGAAGTTTGATGCGATTATGCTGACCGACAATAACTTGCAAGACACTATGATAATTCAAATTAGAATTGATGTCAACGTCAAAAGCATTTGATAACAAGCAACTCTATATTTATACCAATACATAGACTTTTAAAATGTAGCAGCTACTGCATTACCATATAACTACATACAGCAGAAAATACACTCACACAAACACAAACACACAGACACAGCCACACACAGACACGGACACAGACATATATAGATTTATAAACTTACATACAAAAAACATCCAGACATACATATATACATACATACATATATTCATACATATATATATATATATATACAAACATATATATATAAATAACAAAAATATAGACATATATATATATATATATATGTATACATATACATATACAAATATATATATATATACAAATACATGTATATATATGTTCTTATTTACATATAACGCAAATATATGAATTCAGACACACACACAGACAGACACACACACACATATATTTATAGATTTATATACATAAATTTAAAAAAAAACATACATACATATCACATATACGTACATACATAAATTCATACACACACACATATATTTATATGTATGGATTCAAATATAGACATATATGTATACATATACATACACACGCACTTATATATAAATATATACATATACATACATATATATATATGAATACATACCTATATATATATAAATACATACATATATATATATATATATAAATAAATACATATACATGTACATATATTCTTGTTTATATATAACGCAAATATATAATTTCATTAATAGAAAAATATATGAATAAAAGAATATATATACATGAACAGCGAGTATACATATATATTAACAAAGCATATATAAATATATATGTATATATAAATATATTTATATAAATATATATATATATATATATAAATAAATAAATAAATAAATATATAT